GCGGGTTTTAAGCCCGGGCCCGCCAAACAACAATGATGGCTGCAACCAAAATATAGCCAGGCGTTGTGGCGGGCGCCTGTGGTCCCAGCTACTTGGGAGGCAGAGGCAGGAGACTCACTTGAGCCCAGGAGTTGGAGGTTGCTGTGAGCTGTGATGCCCCAGCACTCTACCCAAGGGGATAGCTTGAGGCTCTGTCTCAAACAACAACAACAACAACAACAACAACAACAACAACAAACAGCTGGGCGTTGTAGTGGGTGCCTGTAGTCCCAGCTACTCAGGAGGCTGAGGCAAGAGAATTGCCTAAGCCCAAGAGCTGGAGGCTGCTGTGAGCTGTGACACCACAGCACTCTGCCATGGGCGACAAACTAAGATTCTGTCTCTAAAATAAATAAATAAATAAATAAATAATTGTGAACAGACTAAGTGAACACCATGGAAGGTGCAGTCTTCCACAACCCCATAGTATCTCATTGCAGACTGGGCACAGTGGCTCATGCCTATAATTCTAGCACTCTGGGAGGCTGAGGCAGGTGGACTATTTGAGCTCACAAATTCAAGACCAGCCTGAGCGGCTAGGCGCCTGTGGCTCAAGTGGCTAAGGCACCAACCACATACACCTAAGGTGGTGGATTTGAATCCAGCCCAGGCCACCAAACAACAATGATGGCTGCAACCAAAAAAAAAATATATAGCCAGGCGTTGTGGTGGGCGCCTGTGGTCCCAGCTACTTGGGAGGCGGAGGAAGGAAACTCACTTGAGCCCAGGAGTTGGAGGTTGCTGTGAGCTATGCCACGGCACTCTACCCATGGGGACAGCTTGAAGCTCTGTCTCAAAAAAAACAAAAAAAAAAAGACCAGCCTGAGCAAGAGTGAGACCCCCGTCTCTACTAAAAATAGAAAACTGAGACAAGTCGATCATCTGAGCCCAAGAGTTTGAGGTTGCTGTGAGCTATGACACCATAACACTGTACTGCCAAGGGTAAGGAAGTGAAACTCTGTCCCCCCCACAAAAAAAAAAACTCATTTTATACAGTTTCAAACATGTATGTATGTATCTTATAATGTGATTTCATGTCCAATGTTCTTTTGACTACCATTCTGCCAAGAGTTTCAATTTTCCAGTAAAATAACTGTATACCAGAAAAGGAGGTAAAATGAGATACTCTGTAGCAGGCAGCTGTAAGCTATAAAGCACTAAGCTTCCAGGACATTATTATCTTTAAGTCAGATCACTTAAATAGGGAAAAATGTTGCACAATTATGACAAGCCAGAAAGGAGGAAGCTTCTATCTTCAAAAACCACACTTAATGAAGCAAACACTCTCAACTCTCACAGAATGACTTTTTAGTGCTACATTTTTCTCATTAGTGAATGTCAAGCCACTGTTACCTTACAGAAAGGCATGCATTTTCTTTTTTTTTTTTTTTTTAGTCACGCATTTTCTTGACCTGAGAAGCCATCAATAACAACTTGGTGGCCCTATCCTATAACATATTAAATGGCAGAGTTCCTCAGAGCATGATTTAGCAATGAGAATATTTCATAATTGTTCTCTACAGCCTAAGTTATAAACCTTTAAGAAATTACAAGAATTCAAATTAACTTTAATAATCCCACAGTCTTGCTTTCCTTTGAAGAAGAACAAAACTGCTAAATACAACTATTAAAGAGCAAAGAAACCCAAACATGTTAGTGTAGATTACCCAAAGTATCCAATTTTCCAGGCTGTTGAGTTCAGTTTTTATAAAACTTTTCCCATTTCCACTCCCATAAATTTCTCATCTATAAAACACCTGTCAGTTCTAGAGTATTAAATCTTAAAGCAAAGACACCTTTTCTAAAATATTTTTAACAATTTAAAGGATATCTCAAAGTCCTGAGTTAAAACTAACAGGTTACACTTTAGACTAGAACTAGCTTTAGCTCTGGCTGTTGTCCCATCTGGTAAGTACTTCTCTGTACCTCAATTTCATCATGTAGAAAATAAGGCCGTTGTAAGCTGAGTTCTTCAGTCCTTTTTTGCTCTAACTTTCCAATTCACTTAGAAAATTACTGTCTTGGGCGGCACCTGTGGCTCAGTGGGTACGGTGCCGGCCCCATATACCGAGGGTGACGGGTTCAAACCCGGCCCCGGCCAAACTGCAACCAAAAA